ATATGTTCGCACGCCGTGGCGAACGCGAACATGCTATGTTCGCCAGGAACCGTTCGCCGGCGAACCGTTCGGTACATCACTAATAGAAACATTTAAATACATAAAGGGAATCAACATAGTAAAGGAGGAGACTATATTTAAAAGAAGAAAAACTACCACAACAAGAGGACATAGTCTTAAATTAGAGGGACAAAGATTTAAACATAATATCAGGAAGTATTACTTTACTGAGAGGGTAGTGGATGCATGGAATAGCCTTCCAGCTGAAGTGGTAGAGGTTAACACAGTAAAGGAGTGTAAGCATGCGTGGGATAGGCATAAGGCTATCCTAACTATAAGATAAGGCCAGGGACTAATGAAAGTATTTAGAAAATTGGGCAGACTAGATGGGCTGAATGGTTCTTATCTGCTGTCACATTCTATGTTTCTATGTCTGCCCGTCTGTCGTTTCTCTCAGAGATGTATTGAACATGCACCTGGTGTTGGCATACTTAGCATGGTGATACCACATTAGAAAAGACTCCTTTTAAATCCATTTTAATCTGAAGCCCCTAGTGGCTGTCTAATGAGAATTGCAAAAAGAAAACGTCAGCATTTTCTTATGCGAACCTGCAACTTTGCGCTAAAATTTGTTGGTGATTTTGGTGCTTAGACTGTTGCTTTAAACTTAAAAAAAAAAAAATGGTGCTTGGCCCCTGCTAACAAACATGCAAAATCCAGAAATCACTTCGACCTGCCCAAAGCCCTGATTTGGAAACACTCTATTTATCATCATCCACAATCTTAGATTTGAGTTACCAAAGCCTCCTGTATATTTCTCAACACCCCTCTCGGCATTTCTGCTAAGTTTCAGACATTCATGTTTCATCTAATAAGATGTCGATGACTTGCCAGGGGTTTTCTTCAATGAACAAGCAATTAACTTTTCAATTTATATCACTAAATGCTCTGAAAAGCCAGGCCAGGCAGGGCTTCTGGAAGCCCTAACTTGGTAAGAGCAGCAGTAACTGATTGTCAATTCGTCCTCACACTCGCCAAGTATGAATTTATTTGTGCGGCTGTTCCAAATATCCATTTTGGAAACCCCAAGGAAGGTTTTGAGAATAGTCATTTCTTACCATCATTCTCGTACGCTAGTTACTTGCGGCTGGGTTGGAAAGTAAGACTGTGACTCGTCATCAAGCTTGATTAATGTAACTTCTGAAATTGACCGATGTTGGCAAGACTCCGAAGAACAGATGTTGCTATCTGAAAAACAAACGTTTGCCTCCCAAAGAGTTTGATTTCATGTCTCCAGAGTATGCTATAAATGTGAGATGCCCATCATCGCGCTGACAGGCTTCCTCGGGGGAGACTTCAAATCTTCAAGTCTTACGAAGCTGTGATGTCAGAGACCACCAGCTTTGCATTTAATACTATCATGGCTAGTCACTAAAGTGAGAATTGTTGCAAATTCAAAGTGAATTTCAAATGTAAGGTCAATATAGCTGAATTGGAAGTATAGCTGCCTTAGAGAATTTTTCCAATTTGGCTATTTAGACGTTATAGGGACACTGCACTGTCCAAATACAAAATAAATAAAAATCAGTGTTTACAAGATATACCCCAAATGAAAATGTGCATGCTTTTAATTATTAATTTTCTCACTGGAGTTATATCTAAAATATGCTTGCAAAAAACTTCAGTTCTCTTGTCTGCAGCCTTTGCAAGCCCTCCCATTCTAACCCTGCCCAGACTTTCTGTGGCTGTCCAATCACAGATTTCCCAATGCAGCTCAATGAGAAGTCTTTGCAAGGCAGGTTGCTGTCTCTTCAGTTTGGCTCCACTGAGCTAACCAAACCAGGAAGTAAGAAAAACGGTTGTCTGCTTGAAAGTTGTTGGGGTGTAACCAGGTTATTTTATAAAACAGTCAGTTTCTATTGAAATCTGCATATTTTTAAAATGAAAAAGAAATGGGATACTCTTCACTCGTAAAGCTTTCCGGCAAACTACAGTACTTTAGGTCTGGAGTGTCCCTTTGAATTCACTTTGTTTCCAAAGATTCTCACTTTAGTTAAATAAATTAGGAACACAAAACTCGTCCGAAATAGCAGATGTCAGACCATAATATAAGATGGCAGACATGTTATATATGTGCAAACATTGAGTAAAAATTACCCACATTGAAACTTTTACAGTGAAGTTTTGTGTTACATCTAGTTGTTACCATTGGCATTATACTACCCTTTGTGTAACTTTATCCCACTCCCTGTAGCATGTAAGCTCATTGAGCAGGGATCTCATTCACTCTGTGTGCCCAACTTGTCTGGTTACAATTACATGTTTGTTATTTTTTCTTCTCTCTTCTTGCTTTATGAACATCTATCATGCTGGGTTATGTCTCTCTCCTTGATCTGACCTCTTCTATTCCGGACAAGCTTCGTGTTCCAAATTTCTCTTTTCATCCGAGTTTGGCCTTAAGGAAGGTTTAACCTCGGCCACCCGTACACTGCTAATTCCTGTTTAAAGATTAGGCAAATGAGCACTTACTCGTTCGTTCATCTTACAAGGAAGTTACATGAATAACTACAAATGGTTAATCTATTCTCCCTCAAAGGTGGAAAAACAAAACTGTCAAAACGTGAACTGATTTTACTTACCTCTACAACCTCTCAAATTAGTTATTCTTGTCCTTCCCTTAATATCCACCAGAGACCTTCAACTTTCCTACCTTACACTTACCAGAGAGGAATAGAGTTTCGGTTTTCTTATTGCCATATAAATCCAAAAGATGGATTGGTAGGTAAGTAGTTACTGTTCACAATGGGCAGCTGTCCAGAGTGGCATGCCTGAGAAATCAAACCACGTGATAAATCATGTTGTTTTAAGTTTTAGGCTTTAGAATATGTGTGTCTGATAGAAAGTTCTTCAGTTATTGTAGGCTGGGATGATTCAATAGGGATAATTTATAGAAGCAGAGCAATCAGTAGCAACACATCTTTGGCTTTTATTGAGAAAAGTTTTTAATTTATTGGACGTGGCCCCCACTTTTCTACCCGCAATACTTTTAAAGGTCTACTGGAATGGTCCAGGCATTGGCTGTATAAATACTTGTAAACAGAACATTCTAGTTACAGGGTTAGTTTTGAAGAAGTCATATTCATTCGTCGGTACCCACAATAGCCTCACATGCTCTAGATTCAAGTCTGGTGATTTAATACCTTTTTTCTTCTTTTTTTTGCTAAAATTAATATTTTTATTCAGCGGCTGAATCTATGCGTTTCTCTACAATCTAGTAGTTGACTTGTGCTCATTGACACCTGTTGATTGGTGCTCGTTAACACACCTGTCAGCAATCAGTTGATTCATAGACTTCTGTAAGACTGAGATAAGAAACGTCTCAAGCCAAATGCATTGTGAGCACTGTGCAGTGCAAAAACTACAGGGACAATTCATTTCTTCTTTGAATGTAATGTATTCCGAAGCATTGTACGAGTGAATGGCGATTTTTAGAAGACAATGGCGATTTCATTTATTTTGTTCCTTACATTCATAATGCAGCCATTAAATAATACCTCCGGCTGTTTAATTTCTCCCCATGGTGACCATTTATTATAAACTCATATCTGTAGGACTGGGGACAGGTGTAATAATCTTGGTGTGTCTCTTTTGTTACCTATGATGTATTACGTCTTGTGATGTCTTTAACAGTGTTTGCTCTCATGATCTTTAATTCTTTTATTGTAGACTATTTCAAACTGTGAATTCTATAAATCTGTTCCAAACACGGCAAATAGATTAATATTATTTCCATATAAGGTAGCCATGATAGACTTAGAAAATAGAAATACTCATTGAATATACTAGTGTGTATGTGTCGGCGAAGAGGCATCCATCTTGGAATTGCTCACAATTTTCACCCCCTATTCCCCATGACTATTTTGTTGCTAAAGAACATAAACAAGAATGCAGAGATTTTCAGAGATTTTATGATGTCGGCAGTCAATCTGTCTGTGAATTCCGGGGTAACTCCAAGCATGCCACTGTGCAGGGTAAAGGATATGGTTCTTTAAACTCTCTGATGTTACTCGGTGCCCAACATGGCCAAAATGTGCTGTATTTTTTAATCTTTTTTTTTTTTCATCATAGTTTCCTGGCTTCCGTGGGTGCTGAGTGATTTTTTTTTTATTTTTTTTTCCTTTGCTTTTTTCCCAGGGAGATTCTTATTTACATGAGGAAGTAAAAAATAACATGATTCATAAATAAAAAAAAAAACATAATTTAAGTCCGTTACCTTACCATGACAAACTGTGCCACAACATAATGAAGTGTTGAGATGTGTCTCAGTAATACCCCAATAACTATCATGCTCCGTGCCCAGTCTAGAAAAGCCCACCTGTTGAAGTAACACAACTTCAAGTAGGCCTGTGAGTAGAATGAGGGCCCACTCCAAACTATTATGCAGCATAACCTATCCATAGATAGGAAATAAAAAGGAGAAGTTAAATGGAAACTATAGTGCTGTGAATACTATAGTGTCTCCCCTGCCCGACCGCGCAGAAAGGGTTAAAAACCCTCTTTAACCTTTGGCGCTGGGTCAGGCTTCAATTCCGCTTGTCTTCGTCTGATATTGGGGACCTAATGCACATGCGTGGAGAGCACGCGATCAC